GTGTTACTGAGACAAACTGTCAAACTTGCTCTGTCCATGGGATTTATGCACCCACACCTTCCATTAAGTATTGCATAGTTAATAACTGGGATAAATGCTACCCAGTCAAGAACATACAATGAAGACCCAAAGTGGTCTGAGAGTGCGTGTCAATGGAAAATAATGGCCAATTTGCTGTAACCAGATATGGAAACCTTGATGGTTGGGGAAAAGATCTCTGATAGAAAGGTTAAAAAGTTTACGTTTTTTAAACTTAAAACAGAAAGACAGTTCACTTCCCCACCTGCCTCTCAGTTCTGCAGAGCCTTAGAGATAATATCATGCTTTTAGAAGCTTCTGTTTTAAAATGAAGCATTCTCCATTCACAACCAACAAGGAAACTCTAGCTTCTCCCCTCCCCCCTCACCACCCCAGCTTTTCATTTTCATTACAAGAGGGAAACAAATCTTCATATCCCTGTTCTACACTTACAGCACACTAAGCCTTCTTCTTATCTTCTTGCAGCTCTTCCTGATTTATTGTCATGATGCTGCATTTGTAAAACAGAACCATAAAATAAAGAATAGAACATTTCCCAAGCACTACTCCAAAATAAATTATTTCAGATGTATGGAAGCTGCTTAATAAATCCCACTATTCTTGTTTCTTTGGGTATTTTGCAAACTGATTTATAAGTGCAATATCCTCTCTCAAAAATGAGACAATCAACGCAGGATAAAATTATCATGTTATGAAAATAGGGGTCAGGCATTGGTGCTGCTCTTTAAATTAAACTGAGAGGGGAGATATCTTTCACGTGAAATTGACTCTTTTGTCTCAGAAATGAATGTTTTAATCAGCTGCGCTGAAGAGGAGACCTAAAGTAATGTTTGATTTCATGCAAAGGTGCCTGTTGGTTTTCAATGGGCAGGACCTGAATCCCCACATTTTAAACACAAAATAAATTACATAGGCACACTTCAAATGTAGGGAACTATTGGGTGAACCTTTGCTAGTTGGGTGAACCTTTGCTAGTTGGGTGAACCTTTGCTATTTCCTGCCTCCTATAAAACTGCTTCTCAAAATCTGAACTGCCTGCACCAAAAAAATAGAAGACTTGTTACTACTTGTATAATTTGTTAGTTTATCTGCTGTGTTTCTTAAAACCATTTCTTATAATGTTAACCTATTCTTCTTCCAGAGAGCAGTAGTTTATCTCCACAAAACACCTTTGAGGTAAATTAGATTGAGAGATCAAGGACTTGTCCAAAGCTAATCAGTGAACTTGTGAAAATCTGAACCTGGATTCCCACACTCAAGTTCAGCACTGTGACCACTACACTTGTGCTGGTTGTCAGTCAGTCAGTCACCTTTATTGGCATGTAGCACTTGTGCTGGTTATAGGATGTTAATGATACAGATCTAAGGAAGTGAATGCTTTCAGGAGCCATCAGTGAAGGAAATCATGCAGAGCTCTCTACTAAGGTTGCACAGTAATTTCCATAGTGCTCATAAAACTATGATTGAAGTTAATGCTACATGGGTTTTTCCCCCCGTGACAAATTCACCTTTGCTCTGGGCCACCATTTCAGACATTCTCTCCTAGATCCACCTTTTCAATATTTAATGAATTATTCTTGTGCTGCTATTTTATGCAAACGGGGAACATGGACCTTCTTAACATATTGCAACAGTCAAAAGACAGTGATTTAAATTATCATCTGCATGCAATAGGTTATAATAACCAGGCAGACGGATTTTGAAACCATATTTGCTCCCTCAGACAGCACTTCTACAGGCTTAATTGTTTATTTCACTTATATCCTGCCTTTCATGCTAAACTCAACAAGACATGATGCTTTAAGGGGAGAAAGTCGTGCTCTACCTTTCCTTAGGGCACAACTTGACGAGATGTGAGGAAACTCATGACTGGATCCCACAACATCTTTAACTTTGTTCAAAGCATATGTGGGAGGTCTGGATGGAGATCACAGCGCTGTGATAGAGCAGAGGTGAATCCTGCCTACCCATGCCATTTCCTGGATGTCAGTTAGGGGCCTCAACAGCTATTAGCTGTAACTGGGTTCACGATCACTTGAGAGGGCAAATTTCTATCCTGGAAATGGTGCAGCCCCAACATGCTTTTCAAGAAAAATCAAGACATCAGGAGATGTAGCGACGGATCACTTCTGTCTCATCTAATTAAGCTCTCAGTCGCTGTTTGTTTTCTCCCCTTTCCTCTTATTTTCTTTTTTTTTCTACCTTAAGCTACCTTGCTTAACCTTTTCCTGACTCCTGACCATGCAGACTATGAAAATGTAGGAGTTCCTACTTTCTTGGGGACTCCCAAGAAAAAATATCACTTTATAAATTAACCAATGGGGGAGAAAAAAGAAGAAAACCCCCTCAAACTAGGCCAATGAGAACTGATAATCTCTATAACAGAGAGAATATTGAAAGTAAGGGGAGATAGGGAGGGGGGAGAGAGGAATCAGCCTGTTCCAGCCACAGAGAACTTAAGAGTATCCTGCAGCGTGGGACTTAGAATCACAGAACCATAACAGAGTTGGAAGGGGCCATACAGGCTAACCCCCTGCTCAATGCAGGATCAGCCTCAAGCATCCCTGACAAGTATTTGTCTAAATCATCTCCTCCACACTGTTCTTCACAGGCACTCAGCCAATCACTGTATCTCATAATAAAGTGGCCTCCAACCATTATGGTAAATAAAGCAGCAAAAGCAGGCCACTCACAGAAAAGTTAGCTGCAAAAATATGATTTTGTAAATTAACCAAAAGGGGGAAAAAAACTTCCCAAAAAAACAACCTGTTGAGGACTAAGTATGATCCAGAAGGGATAGAATGTTGGGAGCAACTGAGTGTCAGTATATATTCTCCTCCCTACGTTTTCTTTTAAGAAGAAGAAGAAGAGGAGATTGGAAGAGCAACTGAGTGTCCGTATATATTCTCCTCCTTATGTTTTCTTTTAAGAAGAAGAAGAAGAAGAGATTGGATTTATACCCCGCCCTTCACTACCCAAGGGAGTCTCAGAGCAGCTTACAATCTCCTTTCCCTTCCCCTCCCCACAACAGACACCCTGTGAGGTAGGTGGGGCTGAGAGAGCTCTTGACACAAACTGCTCTTTTTCAAGGACAGCTCTTTTCAAAGCTACGGCTTGCCCAAGGTCATCCAGCCAGGTGCAAGTGGAGGAGTGGGAAATCAAACCTGGTTCTCCCAGATTAGAGTCCGCGCACTTAACCACTACAACAAACTGGCTCTCTGTCTACCTTGCTCTCACTACATTGTTTTCTACTTACATACTTTTCTACATAAACTTTGACATTGTTAATGTATTGTCAATATATCTAATTCTCAAACTGGTCTTATCTGTAGGACCTGCCCTTACCACCATAACCCCCCCCCCCGCCACAGCCGTATGAGGAGGAGAGTGGTGGCGGTGCCAGCAGGCAGAATCCAAGTACGTTGGAGGGGGGGAGAAAGTGAAAGAAAAGGTGATTGAGTGGAGGAGGGGGAGAGAGAAACAGTGTCAGGGATGGTGTAGAGAGAGAAGGAGTGATATCAGGCATGGGGAGACAGAGAAAGTGAGAGAGACAAAGAAAGATGGAAAGTAAGAAAAGAGGTGGAGAGAGAGAGAAAGAGAGAGAGAGAGAAGAGAAACGGTGAGGAGGGGTGGTGGGAGAGGGAAGGAAGCAAAGGTGGGGGGAATAGGATGGCCACTACTAAAAGTTCCTTGTGGTTCTCCAATTGTCCCAACGCTTTTGCTTCAGATTTCTGGAACACTACTCACTTCACTAATGAGTTATGTTAGTCTACCGATTGCTCTGACTTACACTGATAATTCACTTTGAGTTTCAGTCAGAAAAGAAGACTATAACAAATACATTGAAAAATAAATTAGCCAACTCAATCCTCTGAGAATGTCTGAGGTGGAGATTTCAAACACTGAGGTGGGATTTCCAAACTGTTTGCCCCTTCTGCAATTCCTCCTGGGCTCTGGGCTTGTATAATTCCGTAATCTCTATGTTACTGGAGTGAGGTACAACAAGTGGATATACTTCTCACCATGCATGGCCTTGGTCAGCTAGCTATTGATGTCCATGAGCTTTTCTATCTTGGTTGCCTCCTTCCATAGTCTTGTGTAAGGAAGAGGTAAGCAGGAGAGAAAGCTGACCAGTAACAACCCTTAATCTACAGGGTTGCTTACTTCCATCTTAAAGATGAATGTGGTGTATATATTATCCACAAAATCTATCAACAAAGCAAAGACCATAAGGTGCAGAAGAGCTCTCTCTGTTTCTGCCAATCAAGCCCAAGCAGACAAGAGGAATAAAGCACATGCATGCTGGTCCCCAAAGGCCCAAATCAATATGCATGGTGTCATATACTCTAAGAGTAGAACAGAAAACCTCCACATGAATACATCTGGGCTATTAGTAAGGATGTTGTGTTTTTTTTAAAGTAGAATGTCAAACCCAAAATAGCATGGTGGGGAAATTATATGTGCGACTCTGCAAATGCTACAAAGGAGTCAGCTGTACAACTTCTAGTCCTGAGATTGGGTCACCTTAAATCAAAAATCTGTCACTCACATTAATCCAGTTCTCTATAAAACACGCTTATTCATGAATACACTGGTGAATTTAATCAAAATGAAAGTGATATAAGATATTTTTAAATGGTTTCTTTTACTGGGTAAACTTTTATGCATGAGTTCAGGTTCATGTAACTCTCTGGGTAGGCAGAATGAAAAAGCTCAGTTATAAGCACACCAAAGACCTCTACATAGATTTAAGAACTGCCATTTGGATCACTTAAATAAAGCATTACGAACACAAAATGTAGAAGCTGACCTAGGAAAAGGCATCACCTCAGCTAATTTCCCTCTCATTGTCTGGGCCCAACCTGACAGAACCTCTGAATGCCACATAAGATGCTAATGGCACATACTTTATGGAGTAAAACACAACAAAAGTAAGAGGGAAAAGAGGAAAGGTTACTCACAGTAGGTAGTTGACTAGAGAGGAGATGTCCATCTTGGCTCAACATATTAGACACCATGATGGCTGGAAGGTCCATATTCTGGTAGGAATATGCTGGTATCAGGCTATTTGGAGGGAGACTGTGGCACAGTGAATGATATCCAGTTTCATGGTCCACCAAATGAAGAAGGGAAGGGTCTGGGAGGTTGGGAGGAGTAATAGGAGGGATTTCGTAGTCTTCATTATTCTCACTCTGACCATTGTATGTCTAAAAGAAAAATTGAAAAGCATTTTCACTAAGAACTTCCCACTTTGTCCAAAGTAAGCCTCACTTGATTGTCTTGGGCAGCCAAAGTGCCCATTCATTCTGTAAAGACTGAACACGCACAGTTCTATTAAAACTATTTCTAAGTATACAGAAATGCAGAGATATTTTCAGTACAGCTATTCTTGTTTTGAGTAGGTCAATCCTATGCATGTGTACTCAGGAGTTCCATTAAGTTTTGTGTTGCTTATTTTCAAGTAAGGATGCATAGCCCAAGAGAAGGAACATGCATAGCCCAAGAGAAGGAACATTAAAATGGATCAGATATTAACCAGTGAAATGTTTGTGGTACAACAAAATGCACCACATGAATCTTGAATGAAGACCATTTCTTGCGACTGGGGGAGAGGGGTAAAAATCTAAAGAGGAAGCTTCTGAAAATGTTTATAGTCTTAACTCTCCTGACATATATGAATGAAGGCCCCCCCCCAATACAGCATATGTGCCCAAATGATACATAACATTCACATTTGTATGTAACATGAAACCATGGTCAATACTTACTATGGTTAACAGACCCACTTCAGAGCCTGGTTTCAAGGGCCTTAATTAACCATAGTTAACACAGTGAATTGCATTTGGATGATCAATGAACTATGCTTAGTTTAAACCACTGTTTCATGTTACATCTGACACAACCCAAGGGTTTTGCACAAAGAAAGCTGCCAGCTAAAACCCTGGCATTTCTACTGAAATACTCTCAGGCAACAGGTGAAAAATTGTTTTCTTCCTGGAGGCCCTAGAGAATTCCTGTCACTCAGAGAAAATGATACCAAACTAATAGTTCAATATGGTCTTTATATGTGTTTTAAATGTGTGTGTGTGTGTGTGTGTGTCAAGAACTGCAAAGCAGTTCAGCAGAAAGCTCTCAACCTCCTCTCTGCTCTTCCTTTAAAGCACAGGAAACCTGTCACCCACTTTGTACCCTCTGTCTAGTTCTGCTAGTTCTGTTCAATTAGACAACTGAGATTTGTTTCAATCACAATGCCTTTCAGCGAACAAAAGCATCATATACCAGATCAAAATCAGAATCAAAGCTATATACATGGAAATCAAATTAGACAATTTCCAGTGAACACATTCTTGGCTGCGGCACCTTCCTGGTGGAACACTCCCCCTAGTGAGATCAGGGCCCTGCAGGATCTAACACAGTTCCTCAGGGCCTGTAAAACGGAGATGTTCCACCAGGCCTATAGTTGAGGTAGTGACAATTCAACTACAATGGCCTCCCCTGCTTTGCTCTGCTATGGCTCTGGTCACACGTAAGGGTTTGGGCCGGGAGAGGGACGGATCGGGGGCACAGCAAACAGGCGCGATCGCACCGCAACATCTGGGAAGCGGTGCGCACCCGTCCCCGATCCGGCCCTTAAGGCTGAAAACCCACTGCAAAAAAGAACCACCCCTAAAGGTGGACTTACCAGAAAGGCCACACAAGCGTGGCCGTGTGATCGTCGGTGTGTCCTTCTGCCGGCGCATCCAAGGCTCCTGGCCGAACTGTGCATGCTCACAAATGTGCAGTTCGGCAGCCTCCCTCTCTGTTTTGTGGCTTTCTCCCCGGTCTCCCCGGCATCTGATCGTGCCGGGGAGCAAGTGCGCGGCGGCTCACAGGATCTGTGTGATCCCGCCGCCGCGTGCCTATTTTGGTGCGGCTTTCAAAGGCCACACTTTGCCCGTGCATTCCCCCCTCCTGTGTGGCAGGGACTTATGTTTAGCTTAGCTCTGTCTAGCAGCATTTTGATCCATCATAGCTGCTCTAGTCACCTACCCACTTCCCCTGCACTGTTTAGATCTGTAGCTATATACGGTAGCAATGGAAACTTTATCCAATTCAGCAAATTGTCTTGCTGATGCCCCTTGAGGTTTTTATATAGTAATACTGTTTTGTAACTGTTTTATGGCTATATTTTATTTTTAAAGCTTTGTATGTTTTTAAGAATGTTGTAACCCACCCTAAGCCTGCTGCATGGGGGAGGGCAGGCTAGAGCAACAAAAAAATAAATAAATAAAATTCACACCTTGTGCCTGCAAGTTATTCACACAACATCTACTAACACAAATTTGGCAAGTTAAATTCACTATTAGTTGCTGTACATTTTCCGGGCTATATGGCCGTGGTCTTGGCACTGTAGGACCTGACGTTTCGCCAGCAGCTGTGACTGGCATCCTCAGAGGTATAACACAGAAAGATGGAGTACTCTCTGTATCAAGCTGAGAAGAAAAAAATGGTAGGCAGGTAATTTATATCTACTCCAGAAGGTGGGGTAGGGCTGAGTCATTATCTTGTAGGAGTTTCCCAGGCTGTGACATGCTGATGGAGGAGCTTTCCTGAGGAGGTTCTTTTGCATATGGATTGGCTGTTGAAATTCTAATCTTCTCTGTAGTGCTACTGTAAGATGTAGAGCATTTTGTGTTTTTCAGGACAGGAAACCATGCCCTATTTATTTTTAAACTCTGAGGAAAAACAGTCTTCAATAGGAAAAGTGTTTTTGCCATATAAAAGGAATCACAGATCAGATGGGAAAACTTATGAAAAAACACAACCTACAAACAGTATTCAGGCTCACTAGAAAAATACAACACATGCTATGATCGGCAAAAGACAGAAGAGACCCCCTCACTTCTGCAGGAGTAAACCGCATACAATGCAGTTGTAGGCAGGTTTACATCGGGACCACACAGTGTAGCATTCAGACAAGAATAAAAGAACATGAAAGACACTGCAGACTGGGTCAACCTGAAAAATCAGCAGTGGGTGAACATAGTCTAACTCAAACAGGACACAGTATCTTGTTCCAAGACACTGAAAAGCTGAACAACACATCCAGTTACCATGTCAGATTACACAGGGAAGCCACTGAAATTCATAAACACAATTTCAACAGGAAAGAATAGAGTTTAAAAATAAATAGGGCATGGTTTCCTGTCCTGAAAAACACAAAATGCTCTACATCTTACAATAGAATTTCAACAGCCAATCCATATGCAAAAGAACCTCCTCAGGAAAGCTCCTCCATTAGCATACAGCCTGGAAAATCTACAGCAACTAATAAACTCCGGCCATGAAAGCCTTTGACAACATATTAAATTCACTATCTTTCTATATTTTTATAAAGATACCTGGAGAGATTAAAGCCTTGTCCCTGTTTATCCCAGTGAACATATACGGCTACATAAAGGATTGCAGCCCTTTGCCCCTAGGCAAGAGTTGTACGGGTGCTCCTGGAGATGTAAAATTTCCAGAAATTTTGAGGGCTCTGAGTAAAAAAGACTCCTTCCCCTAAAACAAAGCAGAAATGCTGGGGAAAATGTGAATATATGCAATATTTACTTTCCTATCAAACATAAAATACATCATTTATAACTTAGCATACAGAACTGCGCTGTTTGACATTAGCAATGAAATGAGAAAATAAATTTTGTAGTAAAGAAAAGTATACGACTACCAGCATATTTGGGTTTCCAGTGAAATTTCATAACACTGAAAACCCTGAACCTTTAATAATGTATTATCATCAAGCATATTATTGCACATTAATTGTTGCCCAAACGATTCACATTGCCCAAATGATTCACAAGCATGGACGGCTTCAAGAGGGAATTAGATAAACATATGGAGCAGAGATCCATCAGTGGCTATTAGCAACAAGGTATAGATAGGAACTCTTAGTCTGGGGCAAGTGATGCTCTGTATTCTTGGTGCTTGGGGGGGTCAACAGTGGGAGGGCTTCTGATGTCCTGGCCCCACTGCTGGACCTCCTGATGGCACCTGGTATTTTTGGCCACTGTGTGACAGAGTGTTGGACTAGATGGGCCATTGGCCTGATCCAACATTAGCTTCTCTTATGTTCTTATATTCTTAAGCAATAAACACATTCTTGAAAATATGTTGTATATGTCTACAATACTCATAGCAATTATCATTACATTATCTAATGCTATAGGCTGTTTTACATAAACATTTTCATGCTACATGTCTTGAGTGAGTAATTCCAAAGGAGAAAACATATCGCAGGAGTTTTAGTTAAAGGTTGAGAAAACACAGATTCCCCTTCAATTCCCTTGTGATAGCAGGAAATAGTGGCCAGGTGGACCTTTAAGATGGAGAATGCTAAGTCTTCAGATTTCAGATGTAACAAATAATCAAATATAACTTGAAGGCAGCCGCACCTGGAGATACACCTTTCTTATGGTACCAGTTGGGAAATTGCTCCCATTTACGCATATAAGACTTCCTTGTGGAAGGCTTGTGTGACTATAACAGTACCTCATTGATCAGAAAAATCAGATCTTTTTCTCCAGCCTCCAAGCTGTGAGGCTGAGGCGGTCCAAATCACGATGATGCACCTGGTTGATGCTGGTCAAATCTGAGCATTTTTGAAGGGGGAGAAACTGACCCCAGGACACCACCATAAGAACAGAGAACCATATTTGACGAGGCCAAAAAGGTACTAGTAGGATCATGTATGATCCCTCTGTCCTGGCCTTCTCTATTACCCTGACAAGAAGTGGAAATGGAGGGATTGTGTAAAACAGGGTATGTTGCCAGCACAGCTGAAATGCATCTCCTAGGGAACCCCGCCCTATGCCTGCATGAGAACAGAACTGCTTTGCCTTCTTGTTCTTCTGTGTGGCAAACTGATCAACATCTGGGGTCCCTCAGAGGGCAAAAAGCAGCTCCAGGTAAGTGGCCTTTATGGACCACTCATGGGAGAGTTTTCCAGCTCTGCTCAGCCTGTTGGCTTCCATGCTCAATTGTCCAGGGGATCGCTTGCATGGAAGCATTTAGCTCTACTCTACTGCAGTGTTCCATGAAAGAGGGGCTTCTCGACATAGACTCTTGGGCCCTGTACCACCGTGTTTGTTTAGGTAAAAAGTTGCTGTTGTATTGTCTGTCCAAAAGTTGATGGAATGGTTCCGAAAAAATATCTGAGAAACAACTAAGG